TAAATAAATTCTTGAATGAGTAATTTGAATAAATGAACTTCGATTGTTTTTCAAAAATCTTGTGATTCCGTAAATCTTGTGATCCATCATTCTTATATTGATACTCAGATTGAAATTTAAGAAGCGATTATGTACATGATTTTGGTGGCGATACTAGGTGGGTTGCGAAATCTGCCTGATATGAAAATACGCTGTCTATCACATATGCTACGTATGCAATAAATTCAAAATTTTCAAAAATTATAACGATAACATTAAAAATTAAGTGATATAATAGAATTACATGAAGCGAGATGCAATGGACCAATAATCATATGTTTAATATTATCAGCAAATCAAATACAATCATTCAATTAATTTTTTTAATCTCGGCAATTAACGATTGGATCATCACTCAAATCAAAAAATTCCAATTTTAAACGTAAATTTAAAAATCACACGTAGTGTACATATTTTCGTGTAACTTTTTCATTACACAACTATAAAGGGTTAAAATTAAAAATTAAACCTCACATTTTTTTTTCGACATTTAAGGTTTAAAAATCTAGATTATAGATCTCAAAGGTCAGTAATAGTAATATTCTCTTATAAAATAGTTTATAAAATACCATAAGAGAAATATAACAAAAGTGTAGCCAGTTATTCCTTATTTGCATTCTTTTAATTCTGTTATTTTTTCAAATTTTTAAACTTTTCAATGTTTGTAGTGTAATAAAGTTACGATCGAATAATCTTTTCGAGAGAAGCAATTTTCAATATTTACTAGATGCATCATGTTCCAACAAGGTTTGCAACAAGGATTACAACAAGGATTACAGCAAGGTAGGAGGGAATAAAAATAATTATAATTATACACTATGAATTCTTGTATTTAAATACTTTTTTCTCCTTTCGTCGTATAGTTGTCTCATATGTGGCTGGAACGTCAGTACTTCGACAGTATGATATTGGGGATCAAATTGCTAGTGCAGGTCTATGGAGAATATATTCAGGCAGGAATAAATTTCATAATTTTTTTATTTTTTAAAAAATTCAATTCTGTTCTTTATTAAGTTTATCTTTTCGTAATAACAGGAACTAAAAAGACAACTAGCCAAAAAGTAGCTGTATTTGTGAGTTAAATAAATAACTGCCTGTGAATTATGTTTACATCATCAATAGTGTTTTAAATATATTAATTAGTGGTTTCAAAATTTTTTTGTTCAGATATTTGAAAAAAAGATTTTTGATAATACTTTACTGAAAAATTATGAAAAAAAAGAAACGGACAAGATTTATCAGGTTTTAAAGAGAGAGGTAATATAATATCATTAAATATTCACAATTCATAACTCTGTCTTATTAATCTTTTTTTTTTTTCGTCTCTTTTCTAGGCTAGTCAGCTTGCAAGGCTTCGTCATCCATCACTACTGGAGATTGTTGAGGCAGTGGAAGAATCAAGAACTGTAATTACATTTGCCACTGAACCTATTTTAGCATCCCTCGCTAATTTACTTGGAAATACCGAAAATTTGTCAAGTATTCCCGATGATATTAAAAACTTTGAGCTAGACGAGTTAGAGGTATTTAACGCGCATTTATTAAGTTGACTTTGAGTTTAATTTAATTGAGTCGTTTATATTAGATTCAAAAAGGCTTGTTGCAAGTTGGCAAAGGCCTTCAGTTTTGTCACAATGATGCAAAAATTGTTCACTCAAACCTCGTTCCAGAATCCATATTTGTAAATACTAAGGTGTGTAATTTTTGAAGGGCTTACATTTTATTAAAATTTTTTTCGAGTAACTAATTTTATTATAATTCCTATTGTTAGGGCGATTGGAAAATTGGAGGGTGCTGAATTTATTTTCGAATTATATGAATTAACTTTGCTTATATTTTTTTCGAGATCTAATTTACTTTACTATAACCTAATATAGATTTGGATTTAGCCGATTTTTCAACAACCCAGATGCACCACCGGAATATGAATATCCTGATTTTGATTCACGTATACCAAGTTATGCGCAAAAGAACTATGATTATATGGGTAAATGTCATGAACTATTACATATATGATTATATATTGATCAAAAAATTCTTTATTCGTTATTATGCAGCACCAGAATTTGTGCTAGATGAATCAATTGAGTTTGCAAATGATATGTTTGCTCTCGGTTGTTTAATATACACAGTACATAGCCATGGGAGACCCCCAATGGAAAATCGCAATAGTATACATAATTATCGCAAGAATATTGAAAGGTTATCATCAACTAAGTATGACCATCTTCCTTATCATCTTCATGGTAACCTTTAAACAACTCTTTTTGGTTGTTTTTCTCTCTTTTTTTTTTTCTTCCCTTCCCTTTCTTTTTCCTTTTTTTTGCGGTTAATTATTTTTTAACCATTTAAATGCTAATGTTAAGCTTCATTTTTTATTATTTTATTTATGAAGAGGTTATGTACCATTTAATAACTCGTTATCCATCACAGAGAATGACTGCCACCGAATTTCAAGCAAGCAAATACTTTGATAATGTTCTTGTTTCTACTGTAAAATTTTTTGAAAGTTTTCCCGAGAAAACAAAGGATGACAAAATTAGTTTTATGAAAGGGTTAATTCGAATATTACCCCAATTTCCCGAAAGAGTTTTATTACGCAAGGTATTAAAAATTTTTCTCGCATAATAAACTGTATGTAAGGATTTTTTGAAGTCTGCTAACGCATATATCATTTTAAGATTTTACCATGCCTTCTTCAAGAAATTAAGGATCATAGTCTTTTACCTTATACTCTCCCTAATATTTTCTTCATCTCTCAAAAATTGTCACCCACGGATTTTTGTGAAAAAGTTCTTCGTCCGCTAAAGCCAATTTTTATTATTTCCGAGCCCGTGCAGAATTTTGTTACATGTTTAGATCAGATGGAGTTGTTTAAACAAAAGACTACATCTTCTGCTTTCAAAGATGGTATGTGCTAATAGAACTAATAATGTATCAATTCCTAATTCATTTTCGATATTTATAATGATTGATTACTCCATTATTTCCAATTTGATAGACATAATGCCCTTAATCTATAATTCTTTGGAGGCAAAGTCACCTGTAATACAAGAGAAAGTTCTTAGAGTTATACCAACGATAGTAGATTCGTTAGACATTCTTACTATTAAATCATCATTATTTCCTAGGATACAGGTAGCTAATTTAATTTTATACGCATAAAGATATCTGGAATATTGATGTTTAATCTTGATTTAATCTTTGACAGAATTTATTTGTTCACACGACAATGTTGGCCGTCAAAGTTACAACATTAATTTGTTTGCATTCATTAGTTAAATCATTAGACAATGTAAGTTTTATGTTATGTACTAAAAATATTTATTGTTTTGTTTACAGTTTATACAATTCGATTGTTATATTTTTATATATATATATATATATTGATAATTAGTTTACTCTAACTGAAAAGCTAATGCCATTGTTAAAAGGCATCAAGACAAAAGAACCTTCTGTAATGGTAAATATCATCTTTTTGGTGTATTAAAATGGTGGAAGAATGTCGAGATTACGTATTTACTAATCCAAAAATCATGTATGACTAAAGAAAGTTTCATGTTACATCTGATATTATTTTCTGATTGGACAAAGACGTATGATTTCGACATTTTTCTGCACACGATTAATCTACTTGTATTCATTGTACTCCGTAATTTTGGTTAATATATTTTTTTTAAATATTAGATTACAACACTTGCCGTATACGATGAAATGGGAAGGAATGTTGAAAAGGATGTTATTGCTACCGAGATTTTGCCACAGTTATGGAAAATGTCAGTAGTACCTACCCTTAATCTTGACCAAGTATGTAATTACTAGATATATTTTCCGGTTTGATTTCATTATGCTAAAAAAATTATAAATTCATAGTTTCAGAAATTTATGAAGGCTATAAAATCATTATCAACGAGGGTGGAAGAAGAACATTGTAAAAATCTTCAAGATATTAAGAATATCGAAGAACATACTAAAAAATATATGGAGGGAGGAAGTGGTATATTTAATATTCACATTGTCATATAATTTTATTGTATTTATTTTAACTCGATTTTATTTATTTATTTTCAGAAAAAAATAAGGATGAAGTTGGAACTTCAATTGATTTTGAGAAGTTGGTTGGAACCACGAGTGTGATGACTAATAGCACAGTCAATGGACAAAATAAAATACAAATGGAAATGCTTCCAAATTCATTTCCTTTGGGAACTACCATGGTAATTTTCGCGTAAATTGATATTCATATACTTCTTAAAAATTAAAAATTTTAGTTCTTACTTGATTGTATTTTATTTTTAAAGATATCTTCAAATAATTCAAACGTGCCATTGAATGGAAGTATACAACCAGATATTCTTTCTTCAACAACTTCACCAGTATATTCTCAGCCTCGAAATTCAACAAATTCTTTTTCAAGTTCAATAAATAATATTCAACCTTCAAATAGTTTCAATTCGTTATTATCTCAACAACCTACAAACGGCATTCTACCATCCCTTAACAATTATCAGCAAATTCCTAATCAAAGCACAAATTCATCAAATAATAGTATTCCATCACTTCCTCCGCCTAAAATTGGCACAACGCAACGTACGAGTACACCGACAATCTCGACGTACTCCTCCACTATTACATCAGACTTATTTAATACGATCCCGGGATCAAAATTTGGTTCTGGAGGTATACTTCAACCTAGTATTTTGAAACCAGCTAATAATAATAATTCAGGAAATCAAAAGATTTCTCAGGCGGATTTAACAATGTTTGATCCATTTTCTAAGTAATGAGTGTTCTATTTAATAATATTTCAGGGTATTGAAATCTTGTTGCATATTGATTTTATTTTAAAGGATTTATTATATTAATGTATTGTATAATTCAGTTACATATTGGTTGATTCGAATTAATATTTCAAAATGAGGGTAGAGGGTGAATCAATTATTAAATAAAATTGCATAATGTAGTTATTTTTTATCTGTTTATCGGGTCGGTTCATTAGAATAATTAATTTTAAATATTTATATATAGATTCGAATTTTGAAATCAAATTCAAAATTAACTTTATTTTTCATTAACCTATTGTAAAAGACCTTTTTAAAAGTGTTTTATATCTACCTACTAAATTAAAGATATTTAGTGATCTTAAGATAATTATTATTTTATTATTCGAATATATTTCTAGATTATTTAAAACTCAGGCATAAAATTTTTAAATATAAAATTTCAATTATTTAAATACGGTAATAAATATAAATATATACCGGTATTAACGATAAATTTATATACTGGAATTACTGTATTTGGTATGTCAATTGCTACGTATAAAACGCATCTATAGGGCTTTGCTATTTTTACACGAATTTTTATATTAGGGTTAATATTAGAGTTCGAAAAAGATTCGAGGCATAAAACATTTTTATTTAAATATATAAACTTATATTGTATAATATATATATATATATATTTGGGCTAGGTAGGGAGAAAATCAATTTTTATATAATAAATTACAAACCTTTAAGAAGCTATATTGCAAAATTTTATTAAAACAACTATTTTGTGTCTTAAGTGAAAAATAATCCTAATCTTATTTTAAATTGATTTATGTAAAAAAAACATCTTTTGAAAAAATTGTCAATTTCGTCCCTTTTTGCAACATTTACAGTAGTAAAATTTATAATGAATATCGGGTGCATACTGGGAGACAACTTTCCCGATAGTCTGCAGCATATTGGTAGGTAGATCGATTACGGTAACATAACAGCACAATATTGGGATACCCTTAGCACTCTGGGCCTAAAAGTAAGATATCGGGATATTCCAATATTTTACTGTTGTGTTGCTGATATCGATCTACCTCCCGATATCTTACCAATAGGCTTCTGATTTTTAGCTGGATCTATGGCAGACTATCGGGTACATATCAAGAGAAGTCGGGTGAGAGTTATCTAAATTTTCCGGTCCAAGAGTATATATTGATTGTATAGAAGGAGTGACAAATTCAAGGTTATCTTGGTTAGTAGGAATAGGAGAAAGGTTTCCAAAGATGTAGATAGTAGCTTGAGGATTCTGTGAGGTGATGCAATAGTAGGGTTTTTGATATATAGGTCAAGTGCAATTGCTTCAAAATTGGTAGGTAAAATTGGTAAGAGAGAAAAAGATGTATGGGCTTCAAGGAGAACAGCAATAACTGCATTAGAATCTAAATATGGATTACTACAGTATATTAGCAGCTAAAAACAATATCTCTAGCAGCTGCTTTAGCAATGTTATATTCTCTAGAAGTAATCAGTATATAATAGGAGTTAACAGTTTTTTAAGTATATCTAGTAGCTTTATACTGGTCTTGATATAGGGGCCAAAAATAACAATAAGCATAATGAAAAGTTGTAGCAAAGAAGCACTCTTTGCAAGATAAATCTGGGTAAGTAGTTTGTAAAACTGATATTGCAAAAGATTTAGAATGTTGTGTTTTATAGGCTTTAATTTGTTGTAAATAAATCTAGTATGCTTGGTTCATATAAAAACAAAAAAGATAAAATAAAATTAAATTACTTATATTTATACTTTGGCTTGTAGATAATTCACACTTAACTTCTTGTTAAGGTTTGCAATAAGTTATGAGCTATGGGTTTTTATATCTACATGTTTGGCTTGTGGAGCACCTATTCAATGGGGTCTAATCTTAGAGTTGTAGTAAGCTGTGAACTCTAGTTGCTATGAAAGCAAAGGCTTCAAGTAACCCTTCTGTACAAATCTTTTTCAATTTGACAAAACTTCCAAATGCACTATTACTCCTTTAGTAATAGATATCTATAAATAAAAAATCTTTAAAGAATAAAAGAAGATAGGATATTTAATTTTGGTTTCTACTAGAAGGCACCAAAATATTACAAGTGAACTATAGTCTTCTTAGAAATATAGTACTTGCAATATAGCACATAGTGACAAGAATCTCTAAAATAACAGAGTGAAATATGAAGTGATATAAAAGTAGAATATTATTTCACTAGAATGATTTGGTATGATTTATTTAAGAGCAAAAATATATATTTATTTAAGATATATTTATCTACAATATAATACTAAGATATAAGACTATCTATAAGTATCTATATCTAAAGAATTCTAATAACTAAAGATTGCAAGAAACAAATTCTAAAGTCAAAGAAAGAGAAAAAAGCTAGGGTTTATATAGCTTCTACAATATATACTAAAAGAATATAAAAATATATAAAAATATAATAAAATATAATAAAGTAAAATAAAAAAATAGAGAACATAAAGAGTATTATAGTAATTCTATTTTAGCCATTGTTTATAATTTACTAGCTTATCTTTGTTTATCAATTAATGGCTATTTGATAGTCTATTTATTATATATTATAACTTATTTCAATTATTATAGCCTTCTAGATCTACTAGGAATAAAATCTCTAACATGTTCTTAAACTATTAACAGTTTTACAATAGTATAAAACCAAACTTTTAGTTGTTAAGATTAGCAATTAGATAACTAATAAATAGTACTAATTGAATTGTCAGAATTAGATACTTCTAGATAATATATTAAGGTATAAGTAGTATTGAAATTATTTCTTCTTGATTCCAAGATTTTTTTGTTTGAGGTTTTTTTATTAATCAAAAAAATTCACAAAATTAAGAATATTCAAAAAGAAGAGAAGTTTGTTTAGAAGTTAAGGAAGTATTAAATTGAAATATAAAAATAGCCAATTCAATTTGTTAAAGTATTACTTATTAATAAAAATATACCCAAATTTTGGGAGTTGAGATAGTAGGTAATGTGGGTGAAGTGGTGGACATGTGGAAGTTAAATGATAGTGAGTAAGAATACACAAAATCCAGGTCAACAGTATAGTGGGAGTACAGTAGGCTCTGGTGGGTTTTAGCCATGAATAAATGGTTTGTATACCTGATGTCCTAGTCTTAGTACTTGAAATAATATATATATGTATAGGCACCATCATATGTCAATCATTTAAGTATTAATAAAGTCTAAGTGCGGGTGCTACACTTTTATAATTAAAAAAAAATAATAATAATAAAAATATACCCAAAATATTTTTAAAAAAAATTAAAAGTTTGTTTAGCTTTTCAAATTTTCTATAATATTAAACTAATACTTGGCAAAGTATTATTTATAAATTTAGTTATTACTTAATATTAAAAAAAAAATTTATAATATAGAGCTAATACTTGCTAAAGTATTATTTACAATTTTAGCTACTACTTTATTTTATAATTATATAAAGAGAATAATTAATAAGTTTAAATCTAAAAGAAAAATTTATAAAAAAAAAGTATTTAAAAAAAAAAAATTTAGTTAATAAATAGAAATTATAAATAGAAAATAGTATTAAAATTAAGCTAAAAAAACTATATATAAGAAATTGCAAATTCAAAAAAGTATTTTCATATAATATTGCTCAAAAATGTGATTTTAAAATCACTTGGATTATGGTATACAAAAGTATAATAATAGTTTTTGAGATAGTACAAAAATGCTTTGTATAACAAGGAGGTGAACAGCACAAACAGAATTATACAAAAAAGAAAAACTAGCAAATAAAAAAATAAAAAAAATAAAAAATAAAAATAAAAAAAAAAGCAATTAAAAAAAGAAAGAGAAAAAAAAAAAATTATAAATAAAACTTAAGCTATACAAATAAAATTATTTATTATCTATATAAATAGTAAAAAGTAACCCAGCCATCTGGGAAATAATTTTATTTTTTTAAAAAAATTAATTCTTTTCTAAAATATAATTGGTTAAAAAAAAATTTTTTTTTCACCTAGTAAAACATTTATGTCTTAGCTATTATCATTATTCATTGAAATTTGCTCAAATAATTTTTCTGCCAATCTAGTTAAGCTATAAATTTTGGGAATAATAACAATAATAATAAGATTTAGTAACAGATAAATCAAATATATAATCAGATGACTAATATAAAACTTATATTTCAATAAAACTAAATATTGACATGCAATTCCCATTATTTGACAAGATCTATTTTTGTTTAAATAAAGGCATTTAATTATTTTTTATTTCTAGTTGAAGACAAAAAAATTCAGATTTAAAAAATTAAATTAAATTTTGATTTCTATTCTTTGGCAAGATTTTCATTTAAACAAAGCTTTTATCAATTTCTAATTATTCTTTATTTTTTGTCGAAGATGAAAAATTCTGTTTTTAAAAAATTAAACTAAATTTTGATTCTTATTTTTTGGCAAAATATATTTTTGTTCAAATGAAAGCATTTTTTATTTCTAATTATTTTTTATTTTTTATAAACAAATATAAATATATAAAATTATTTACTTTGATTTTGTTTATTATAATTCTTCATGCATTCTTAACAAATATTAATAATATCTTGGTTGCTTGGAATCCTAACCCAAGATTTATTTTTAAACCAGTCGATCATATAGGCAGTGTTAATCAAATCATAGCATAGTAAGATTGATTATTTTCCAAAAATTATTATACAAAATAATAAAAACTAGAGCATGTCTAATTGTAATATAGTGTAATATCAATCAAAATATAAATATTTTTAATTATTATTAATGTTTTTATTATAAACAACTTGTTATAATTAGACACATCCTCATTTTTTATTATTTTGTATAACAATTTTTGGAAAGTAATTAATCTCACTATGCTATGTTTTGATTAATACTGTCTATATTTAACTTTTTAATAATAGCACCTGTTCAGACAATATATTTGTTATAAAAGTCTAATTTATATTTGATTTCTTTT